GGGGCGGGGGGGTGGGGGGTCAATTTTTCTTCACCCTCTTGTTCCAGTATAAATTTTTTTCGGGGTCAAAAAAATAATGGCAAAAACGAAAATTTCGAAATTTGGTTTGATAAATTTTTTTTTGGAAAATTCTTATCATCACTTTTTACGATTCACATTTAACGAACGGTGATAATAGTTTTTGTATACGTTTCTACGAATGCAAAATTGTAGGAAATTGACGCGTGGGTCTGTTTGGGAAAAAAAAATGACAGCGCTGGGATTTTATGATTTTTGTTTCGTACCTTTGTACGACATTCCTCGTGGTAATGACACGTGTGGGACATAATATGGACATTGCTTATGCGTTTACGTGTCGCTGAACAGTGGTGGGCTTCTGTGTTATACTTTTATTTACCCGTGAGTGAGCATGCTTACGGGGCATGGAGTCGTGGCGCGATTAATTAATGCGTTTCTTTGTTGTTACGTAGTGGAACTAAAAAAAAAAAAAAATTTGACGAATTTGAATTTTTTTTTATAAAAGTTGTACCGACCACTTTTTTGGAAATCCGACGTAACTTCCTTGACGAGCGATCGACGTTAATTTACGGTAACGAAATACGGTGTTAAAATTTCGGTGTTACGAAGAGAAAGAAAAAAAAAATTAGTACAATTTTTGGCAACCCTGTATAACTGACCTTTGGTTATGTTGAGACGGATTTGTTCTTTTTCCCAGGAGGCAAACGAGGCCTTGAGGGCCTCGGTCATCTTTTTGTTGGTCCCAGGCGTAAGCGGCGGCACTTGGGCCGGAATATCTGCAAAATTGGGAAAAAAAGAAAATTACACAAAATTCACATTTTTTTTTTCTTTTTGCAATTAAAATAAATTTCCCCCAGTACCGTGACAAACGCTTGATGTATGGTTTCCAAAAGTCAAAAAAAAAAAAAAAATTCTAAAATATCACCTGTAACGCAATGATAGATCGAGGGGGTGGCAGCGTGGGAAATAATTTCCAATTAGCTCTTGGTACCTGGACTAATAAAAATAACAAGAACAACGCCGCCCTATCGTACACGAAAGCATAGCTGTGCGAGTGGCGCTATTATACGCGCAATGTATTACCATACAGCTGGTCAAGTGTATATAGTGAGCTATCATAAATCTAGTCAAGAGAAGATAAAGTTACTCAACTTCCTGCGTGGAATCTAGCTAGTTTTCGGTTAAAGCGAATTTGCATATCCATCGGTGATTTCCTAGGCGACCCAACAAGCTCGGCAGTGGTCGGCTACGTCAAACCGAGCGAATCGATCGATTGGACGTCGCGCGATAAGAAAAAAAGTACCCCACGTAAGAAAAAAAAAAGAAAAAAAAATCACGAAAAAACCTCCCAAACGTAGGTGAAAATTAAATTTGACAAATTTTTACACTGCAAGACTAACCCAATATAATAATATCACCTAACCTCAAAAATAGTCTCTCGACAGCCAGCATATGTAACAGAAAAAAGGAAAGTCTTAAATAATACGATGCTACCCGAAGAAGCATTTACCAAACATAAAGGCGCCCTCGTCGCGGGCGACGTATGAATTTAGAGTCGAATCGCCGGCCAGTAGCCTAGAGACAAGTGGTCCCCGCATGTGAGAAGGCAGGTTAATGGTACTTCACACAGTCGGCGAGTGCGTCAGGTGTCGCAGGGCAAGGGCGAGAGAGAGCGAGAGAGAGAGAGAGAGAGAGTGAGTGAGTGAAGGCAAAGAGGGAGAGCGAAGTGGAACTTCCTAGATAGCATCGTACACCAAAGAGGGGTGCAACTGCCATCGCAGCTGCAGGTGCATCGTGCATATATATATATATATATATATACATACACACCGCACTATTCCATAGCATTACTGCAAGCAGTACGGGACCTTATGGTATCCTGGCAAAAAAAATTTTTGTTTTCATAAAAAATTGTCATCCAAATATAGCGACGATTCAGGTAAACTGGTAGCAATAGGATTTACAGGCTTTAGCCTATTTCCCATCCGATGCTTTTGTACATATGCCCTGAACAGAGGTGCCTACGACGTTGCTATATAGTAAAGTTACGTGCGTCGACTCTTTGAGTCCTTAACCAAGTACTTTGGTTGGCCTTATGGTTTATCGTGAGCCATATACCTCGTGGGCTTATGAAGCGCTCGAGTGCCACGTATACGTACGATAGATTACATACTGTCTTACGCGCGGACCTTCTTTTCCCCTGATCGTTCGTTCGTTGTTCGGCTGTTCGGCTGTTCGGCTGACTCGATTTAAGGGGCATATCGACGTACAGCACGAGGAGACATCGGATCGATTGTAAAACACACGTGCCGAGCGCAACGATCCCCGCGAGGAATTTCAATGTTATCGTTTGTAGATACGACGCTTATGGTATGTAGGTGCCTAATATAATTGCTCGAACGGAATATCGAAGTAGGGCCCCCGAACGATCCCCGAACGATCCCCGAACGACGCTACGGGATTGGCCAATAGACTTTGGGCCCACCAGTCACAACGTGTAACCAACTCGTGCGAGCTCGCGCGAGCTACGATATACCTTTCGTGATTTACATTATAAATCAAAAGGCCTCTGTATATATCTCCCTGTAAGAGGGTCGTGATTGTTTTATTAAATATGACAACCGGCTGTTGTTGTTTTTATTATTTTTGAAAATGCGCCTTCGATTGAGTATTAATTTTTTTTTTATATAGGAAATATGTGAATATGGATTTATTATTGTATACGTATATGACGTTTAATATAATGGGACTTTTGACGAACGTAGTTTTGTAAAAAAAAATTTTTTTTCAAATAATAATAATATTCCGTACCGATCGTAGATATATGTTTAATTCGAAAGAGACGATCGACTCGTACGTTTCTCAATCGTATGCAAATTTAAATAAAATTGACCCTTGACCACTGACACTTGACCCTTCATCGCTCTACATACATCTGCATAAGTTACGTTATTTGCGGCGATACCGAGCACCGAGCTGATTATACCTGCAGATGAATATTGCCACCAGCCGATAACCTTAATTGGCTTAAAAAACGCATTCGTATTCCCGTGTCTCCAGTCAAAGCTATGTCCGACCGCTTAAGATATCCTTAAGAGATTTGAATTTTACCGCCGTTCGTCGTCCAGCTCTTTCACTTCGAATTTAAATTGATTCAAACTCAATATCGGTCGCTGTCTTGGTTTGCGTTGTTATTGGCCGCGCATGCGCACCAGAGTCCTACCAATAGTTCGTTACTTTTTCCCAAGAGGCATTGCGATCTTTCTCTGTCCGCCTCTGTATACAGATGGTCGCCGGCAGAGATTCGGTGATACCGTACTCGGGAGGGAGTGATTTTATTTCTCGAATATTTCTCAATAACTACCACTCCAAATGTACCGGTCGGTCTCTTCGAGAATTAACGGACGTGGGGCACGTGCTCCGAGTCTCTTAACTCCTGTCCCTCCATCCTTGACACACGAGAACACTCGGCAGTGGCAGCAGCGACAGCAATAGCGGACTCTGGTATGGCAGCTGTCGCGGAACTAGCTTCGCTAAGCGCATTTCCAAAATCTTCACAAAAAAGCATGTGGCTGTCGCGTAGAGGTCAAAGGTATCTTGGGTCGATTAGTCTTTTTACCGGAAACTTAGTTTTTTTTTTTTTATACCGGGATACCGTGCACTTGGGTAGTACAGTTGGGGATGATAAATTTATTAGAATATATTCATGGGTATTTTGTATCTTTATACGGAAATTCGTAATAGAGGTAAGTTAATAGAGCGTACCCTCGTTGTATGCTTTGGAAAAACGCGAGCTAATCGTACTATGGGAACTCTGCTAATACACCTGTTGCGCATACTGTACTGCACGTGTGTGTATATATATATATATATACACATGTATAATACAAAGCCACAGGCTTTCGTCCCTTATAGAAGCACCTTGAGAAACGGTCGCTCTTGCAAAGACTGCCCTTAGCTTTTACTCTCTGCCATATGCATACATATATGTATATATATACATAGCCTTAGTCCCAAGTCCCTTTCCCTGTGTCCCTGGGTAGGGTCGTGCATAAATACGCCATAAAGTAGGCGCAGGAGGCCGCCTGCGATGTTAGAACACCTAAATTTAACCCGGCGCGTATTTCGGTAGGCGTAAATCACGTTGACGAGGGAGGTGAGCGACGAGTCCACCGTCGGTAAGGTAGAAATCGTAATCGCACGATAAATCATCGTAAAATAAAGAGGATAACGCATGAGTTAAAAAAAAATGAAGGACGACGGAAAAAAAAGAAGGAAAAAAAAAGAAAAAAAGAAAAGGCCACGACCATCAAAAATCGCAAGACGGAGAACGACGTTAACATCGAGGTGCATAAAATGTACGGGGAGAGCCGGCAACGTAATTTTAACTGAATTTCTGCGCGAACTCGAAGCCCCGAGCCTGGCCGAGCGTAGCCGCCGGTATTTTCGGAGAGTTCACACCGGAAGGAGTAACCTTGACTAATTCCATGAAAATAATAGTCCCCGACCCGAAGCCACCATCGGCGGCACAGAGATAAATCGTTATCTCCTCCAGCAGGGATAAAAATCTCTCGTATCTGGGTCCGAGGGAAGAAAATACAAGAATCGTCACCCTAGCGCGAGGGAGAGGGCCGAATCCATGTAAAGTCTCACGGCTACCGTGATTCCCTGAGGAAGCCCGCAAGGACGAAACCCCTTTTCGAAAAGCTGCGACAAAGCCCAACCGACAAAAAAAAAAAATAAAAATAAACCGCCATACAGATATACAAAGCCTACGGGTAATTCCCAAATGGCGATCCTCCGGGACTTTCCCGTGACTTTTGAAGTCAACAAAGAAAGGACCCCCTTCTAATCGCGAGCTCGTTAGCTGGTAGCCAGTAGCAACCGGCATTATTGTTAACCAATGATTATCAGTGGCACCGCGTGTTTCTCCGAGATAGTGGCTGCCGAGTGTGCCGAGTGATAGTAACTGCCTCGACTTCCTGAGTGACTCCAGACACTCCCCTCTGGCCCCCCCCCGTCCTATCGTGGATACGCACACCAACAGGCTCCTCGAATCCTGGACCAATTATCGCAACCTGATTATGCGCTCTGGTAGCTGCGTCATCTCTGTCCCAGCTGATAGTCGACCACAGTGATTATTTATATAGGAAAAAAAAAAAAAAAAAAAAAATTAATTTTTTAATTAAATTTTTTTTTTTCCCTACCCATATCCCCCTTTGGCACTTCCATAGGTACTCGGATCCTGGCATGTGGCGTGTATGCCTGTTGGGACGACGTCGAGGACGCGTGTGACGCCTTGAAGTGGCATCGAAAGGTGGTCTTAGTTTGCGAGGAGCGTAGGTGGAGATTAAATAGTTATGTACGAGGCGTCGCGTTAGCACGGGCCACGAGTTGCGGCTGGGTAAGGTGGAGGCCAGGGGGAGGAAAGAAGAGGAGGAAGAAGGATGGACAGTGGTGAGGCTCAGGAGGGAAGTATGGGCGAGGGGTGACGGCGGGAGGGGCCGGAGGGGGGGTAAGGCTGGGTAGAGTCGGTATAGCGACGCTTTACGTACGTATGTTGGGATGGGCGGAGGGCCGAGGGAGGACGGGAATTTAGCATTGTTCCTCGGGTCACGTCCAGCGAGCGTGTATCGCGTCCGCCAGACTGAGACCGAGCTTCTCGCTCGCCCGACGCCCGTTTATTATTACGTTACTGAATATCCATCTGTGCCTTTCGAGAAAAAAGGAAAATATACCCAGCTCCGTATAACCCCAGGACTCTCGTCGCTATTTCTCATTCTTTTCCCACGACCTGACGCGCCGATGTAAAGGCGCCATTATCTTACGCCGAGACCTTGTCGCACGTATTGTCCTCTCGTTGGCGTCGGTTACCATTTCAATCACGATACATTTATAGATTGTATGCCTGCACCCTGCTCAAACCCAACACTCAGCTTCACAAAGCTGTCTGTGGCTGATTGTCGTAGACGCCACTTTACAAAGTCATTCGATTGATTTTACACTATCAAATTATGTAAACATAAGGAAAGGGACGGTTTGAAAAAAAAAAAAAAAAAAAAAAAAAAGCGACTATCGAGAAGTCACTTCGGATTGTTCTCGAAGTGAGATTTTTTTCAAGTTTTGTATACCCCCTGCGAGTGCGAGAGAGACGGAGTTATTGGCCGCCGCGTGGGTTAGAGAAGGACAGAAACAGTCGGAGCGAATTTTCATGACTGAGATATATGGCGAATAATTTTTTTCTCTCAGTTCTCAATGGACGTTTAAAATTTTATTGCCACTCCGCCCTGCACGCTCTACGACTTTGCTCGAGTTTTTATTATACCTCGGCTCTTCGTGTAACGACTGTCTACCAATTGCGAGCGATCCGGCTTTAAACGTGCAGTATATACCGTGTAACGGGTAATTTGGAGCGTATGGACTTCTATGGGCTTCGTGGCTGCGAATGAATGGGTGCAGTACTGTTTGCGAAGTGACGCCGTTTCTCGGACGTTTTCTCCTGGTCCATTGTTAACTAGGCACGCCACGAGAGTGTAAAACTATTGTTGCAAATGCTTAAAGGAGACTCGGCGGCGATGGCTGCGAGCGGCACGCAATACTTGGCTGCTTGTTTGTTCCCTCGAAAATCCAGTCGACTTTCACGATCGACCGCGAGAGATCGCTGCCGTAGTTACTCGTAATTAACGGCGATGCCGAGCGATGTTTTCATTGGAGAGGATCGAAGAAATTCATCTTCAGCGTCTGATCTTTTTTTTTCAAAAACCGCTCGGAAAAGTCACGGGCAATTCTCGGGGATCGAGCGGGGGCCCGGATGCAACTCGAAAAGCAACGACTCGAGAGAAAGCGACGACCTGCGCGAATCCAAGACCATATACGCATCTACGGGATATAACGTACGTTGAAGATTGCCGGCACGTATGGATATGTAACGTCGTTTATAGATATTATAGAAAATTATATAAGGATCCTTCAAGATTTCCAGGTAATTACGGATACGTGCCTTTACTTTGAATTTCAAAGATCGAAGGCAATTTTGGTCGTAGCGCGAAACTAATAATTAAAAAAAAATTTTTTTTTTTTTAAATACTTTTTCAGTTGGTCTCCCTAACCATCAATTTCAATAATTTTCAGCCCGAATCTCCATCTCTTTTAGTTCCTACTGGATTCTCATTCTCTATTTCATTCCTTTTGCATCTCAAGACGAGACCAACGACGACCCTGGTATTTCCGAGTCGAAGAAAAAAAGTACTGTATATACAGCAACCCCGATAACAGTGATAACTCCTTATCACGAATATCACCTATAAACAGGTTCCTGTTTCTTGGGTATGCACGGGCGACCGAAAAGTGATTGAAAAAAAATGGTCGCAAAGCGCTATTCCGTAATAAACACAATCTGGAGAAGCGAAGCTATCTATGAATAACCGAGCGACGTGAAGCAAGCAGCGATGCAGGTTGCATCGGTTAGCGTAGCCAACTTCAGTTATGCCCGTCATCCTGGAATAAGTCACGTTCGCGTGGCATAACCGGGCTGTCACGTTGATCCGCCATAAGTACCATTATGGGCAGATCGATCCGAGCGTGGCGCTCGGGCGTCGCGACGCACTACCAAAAATCCTCACTGTGTGCCGAGGACTCGAGGAGATATGAAAAATTGATAAAAATGTCGAAAAAAAAAAATAAAAGATATTCCTACCTCTGGACCTGCCAAAGGACTTCATGGCTTTGATTCCCATTCCGGTGTGATCGCCGCTCCCGTAATCGACAAACATTAGTGACGTCCTCGAGCACTTGGCGTTCATATACGAATCCACGTTAGCCCCTTTCACGAGCAGACGCCAGCGGTGGGACCAGTGACAGTTCAGTCGAGTCCTCCGGTCATCCCGGCGATCCGCAGGACCCGCGTCCCTTGGTCGTGTTTACGTTCCTTGGGTCAGTTGACAGTTGACGAGGTGACGGGTGACCGCGAGCACATGGGTAGGTATTTTAACACGTGTCTACCAAGAAGTTGGATCGTAATGCAAATCCAGAGTCAAATCCAGTTCAGCTGCCCGATAGCGAGGAAGCGCAGCATTCGCGTTAAGAAACACGAGGCGGTCGCGAGGCGCGACAGGACGAGGTAGCAGAGGACGGAGGTCTTCTCCGGAAGGGAGCTTCTCCCTTTTAAAGTCCTTCAAAGCCAATTAACGTCCCGAGGTCGAAATTGCGTTCAGATGGCACCGAAGGTGCTCGCCAAGACTTTATCCCATGCTAAGCCTCGACAGCCACAGCTAAGGCTGCAGCAGTAACGGCACCAGCATCGGTAGTAAAGACAGCGGCAGCAGGCCGCATCAAGACGACACGGCTGGCCCTCCAAAGGCTTTGGTATCATGTGTCCACCATGTGTTCGCTATCAATTCATTACTGCGACCCGGCTATTTCCGAATATCTTGCACAACGGCCGCTCGGGCAGAGCAACGCCGAGAATATTAAATGTCGCGAGGGAGCGCAGGCACCTCGGCGCGACGCGCACCGCCGAGACGCTCCTGGAACACTCCGATGACAGGGAGGCGACGCCGTTATCGAGCACTCGGTCGATTGATCCGGGCTGCTTCGGCAAAGTGCAAAGTCAAAAGACCCTCCCCGACAGTCCAAGTCTCACTGGGGTACGTGGTGTCTCACGTATATTCGAACAATACGAATAGCACCCCCCGTCACGTTGACCCAGGTCAGGGGTATGACGTCAGGGACGAATTACGAAGGTGGGTTAATTTTTCTTTTTAAAAATCCCGCCAAGAACGAAAGCTCCCGCGTACAGATGGAGCAGCTGGTCGGCGTAGGAAATTCAAAGTAATTTGACGTTTCCAAGTGTCCACCGTTTACGACGTAGTAAAGGATGCCAATTCGATGTCACAAAATGATTATAGATATAACGATAACGATTTATTATTCACAGGATCGTTTGGCATTCCCGATTAAACGGCTTCGATTATCCGTCGATCGATTTTTCCATCGATCGTTCCGCGCTTCTCGTTTATCCCGTAACACAAGTAGCGCCACCTGTCCGCCGATCTGGCTTATCCGCGAGGCAAATGCGACACAGTCGCGACTTTTGCGGCGACCAGCAAGGGAGCAGGGCGACGCAGCGGGGTTCGTAGGGCCGCCTTTCGTTTTGTCCAAATGGCCAAGCGACACCGCGGGACGGTACCCCGACTGCGATCGCGATAAAGACGACGGAGACAACGACGACAACAACGACGGCGGCGGCGAGGAGGACGACACGCTAGGATGAACCGCAACTCCCTTCGCAACTCGGCTCGACTAAAATACTAGTGACGGGTGTTCGTTGGTTCGTCGGTGTTACGGCTGGCTAGGCTGCGCCGTGCAACGGCGGAGGGGACCAAGCTTATTATAGGGGGAGTGTGCCAGAGAGTGAGGGACAGAGAGAGAGAGAGAGAGAGAGAGAGAGAGAGAGAGAGAGAGTATCGTACCTCGAAGAACGAGGGGAGGGACAGTTTTGGTCTCGCTCACTCTCTCTCTCTCTCTCACTCACTCACTCACTCACTCATTACCAACCTCTCAATCCCTCTCTGTCTTATCCCTCTCTAAGTGCCTATGTACGACCATCTCTCTCTCTCTCTCTCTCTCACCAACGAGCCACAGTCGCTCGAAGCACCGTGGTATCACTGTATAGACGACACACCGGCCGGATCCCTCTCGAGTCTGAAGCGAGTCGCCCCCCCTCCCG